CCAGCCCCCCGCGCCCCCAGCCCCTCACCAGCAGGTTCACGGCCTCGATGACGTCGATGAACACCTCGTTCTTCTTGTAGCGGATTCCCTCGGAGCGCCAGGACACCGCGTTGGTCACCGTGGTGGGCACGCGCGACTTCCCCGTCTCCAGCTTGTTCCCCTCCTGGGTGATGTACCTGCGGAGGGGTCAGGGGTCTCAGGGGGCTCTGGGGGGGGGTCTCGGTGCCCCCCAGACCCCTCCCCACGCTCACTCCTGCAGGATCTTGCTGTCGGTGGTCTGCGGGAAGCCGAAGTCCATCAGCTCGTCCAGCAGCTCGTAGACGATGACGAAGTTGTCGCGGATGCTCTCCTCCTCCAGCTCCTTGAAGTACTCACAGAACACCTTGGGGAGGGGGACACCAAACACCTCTGTCACCCCCTCCCCATGAGGAGACACCCAGAATTAGGGTCTCGCCCTCTGAGACCCCCCCCACAACTCACCTCCACCACCTTGTAGAGGAAGGAGAAGACCAAGGAGGCGTTCCCGTTCTTCTTGGTGGTGGCCACCACTGCGGGGGTTAAGGAAAAGGGGGGGGCACCGGTGGGTCCCCGAGGTTGGGGAGGGGGTCCCGGGGAGGGGAGGGGTCCCCTGGAAGGATACGGTACAGGTTGGCGTGTTTGATCCACAGGAAGTGGACGTGGCCGTGGGTCAGGACGGGCGTCAGCGTGCCCTCCTCCTCCCGCTGCAGCAGGACCCCCATGAAGTTCTCGATCTCCCCCAGCCCCACGTCCCCTTTGTAGTTGCGGCTGATCAGCGGCTGTGGGGTGACGGGGAGGGGGCGTCAGAAATGGCGACGCCCCCTCCCCAAAAAAAAAAAAAACGCTCACCCCACCTCGGGGTCACGGGGGTCACCGCCACTGACCTTGGGTGACCTTCAAGGACAGAGGGGACACGGGGGTGTCCCCCCACCCCGGTGACCCCCGGCAGGGTTTGGGGTGGCCGTGGCAGGGTGTGGGGGTGGGTGTCACACCTGGAACACCCCCTCCCCAAAAATCCTGGGGGTCACGGGGGTCACCGTCACTGACCTTGGGTGACCTTCAAGGACAGAGGGGACACGGGGGTGTCCCTCGGGAGGGGGGGGTGGCGGGGGTCTCACCTTCCCCTTGAGGTCCAGGATGAAGAGGGCGGAGGCGGCCATGGCGCCCGCGCGGCACCGTCACCTCCGGCACCGTCACCTGCCCAGGTGAGCGGCTGCGCCCGCGGCCGCGCGGGGCCTTAAAGGGGACGGCCCAGCCCCACCGTCCCCCCCCCACCCCGGGGGTCCCACCCCGGAGCTCGGGGGGACCCCCCAGGCTCGGCCGCTCCACGGGGGTTTCGGTCACCTCCAGCGCGACCCCACAGTTTTGGGGTGGGGGGCGTGGGTGGGACGCCGAGGTGGTTCAAAAGAGGGGTGGGTTTGGGACCCCTGGATATCAGGGTGCCCCAGGCTGGGGGGGGTCTCTGCACCCCCAAAATCTCCCTCTCGGGGGGTCCCCGCAGCCCCTGACTCTGGTATTGCCCGCCTTGGGGGTCGCTGAGCCCCCCGATCCCCTGTGGCCCCCCATGAGGGGTCTCCACATCCCCCCAACCATCAGATTCCTCACCCTGGGTGGTCCCTGCACCCCCAGAACCCCGCAGCCCCCACGGGAGGGTCCCCGAACCCCCACATCCTCCCCTCTGGGGGGTCCCCGCACCCCCAGAGCCCTCCGGGGGTCTCTGTACGCCAACATCCCTCACTCTGCATGGCCCCCCAAAGCCCCCAGACCCCCGCATTCCCCTCGGGGGGGTCCCTGCCCCCTCAAACTCCCACCCTGGGGGATTCCCGCACCCCCAGACCCGCCCCCCCCTCGCATCCTCCGGTCCCGCCGGAGCCCCGGGCGGGGCGGGACGGCCCCGGGACCGGCCCCGGGGGCGGATCGGTGCTGAGGGCCGGGCCCGGGGCCGCCCCGCCCGCAGCCACAGCCCGGGGGTACCGGCAGCTACCGGGGGGGTCCGGGGGTACCGGGGGAACCGCCCAGAACCGCCATGGACCGGGCCGCGGGCAGGAGGCACCGGAACGGCGATTACGGTACCGAGCATCCCCCCGACCCCGCCCGGGGCTCCCCGGCAGCCCCCGGGTTTGGGACCCCCGGGTTTGGGAACCCCGGGTTTGGGATCCCCGGGTTTGGGATCCCCGGGTTTGGGACCCCCAGTTTTGGGAACCCCCAGACCACGCTCCCCGTCAGCCCCCGGCTTTGGGACCCCCGGCTTTGGGACCCCCGGTTTTGGGAACCCCCAGACCACGCTCCTCGTCAGCCCCCGGCTTTGGGACCCCCGGCTTTGGGACCCCCAGTTTTGGGAACCCCCAGACCATGCTCCCCGGCAGCCCCCGGCTTTGGGACCCCCAGCTTTGGGACCCCTGGTTTCGGGACCCCTCAGGTTTAGGGTCCGCAGTTTGGGGGCCCGCAGGGGGTCCAGACCCTTCAGGCTCGGGGATCCCCCCTGGTTTTGGGGGGTTTGAGACCCCCCCCCCAAATCTGAGCACACGCAGGTTCAGGGACCCCCGCATTGGGGACCCCCGAGGAGGCGGCAGGGGCGGGGACCCCGCACGCTTTGGGGGCTGTGCCGGGGGGCTCGGGGGTCCCGGGGGTGTCCGGGATGGGGGGAGGCAGCACCGGGACCCCTCCCCGTGTCCCCCACCCCGTTTTTCCCGGGCGGGGGCTCCCCCCGGGCCGGCCTTTGTTCCGTGAGCGCGGGGGGGCCCCCGCAGCCCTGACATCACCGGCGGCCTATGGGCGCCGGGATTCCGCCGCCGCCGCTGCCGGTGATTTATTTACCCCGATATAACCGGGGCGGGGATGGAACCGGCGTCACCGGGAGGGCGGGGGGAGCTGGCACCGCCCGCCAGCCCTTTCCCGGCACCGACCGGACGCTTCCCGCCCGTTCCCGACCTCTGGACTGGGTGCGCACCGCGCCCCGGTGCTTCCCGGTACCGCTACCGGAGCTCCTCGGTTCTCCCCGGTGCCGGAATTGCCCGGTAACCGCGGGACCGGAGCTCCCCCGGTTCCCCCCCACCCCCGGTGCAGGAGTCGGTTCTCCGCGGAGCCCCCCGCTGCCGGTGCCGCTCCCCCCGGTGTCCCCCCGGTGTCACCCCGGTGTCCCCCCGGTGCACCGCGCGGCCGGTGCTCTCCGGGGCGGGGTTTGGGCCACGTTCGTGCCCCGGAGGGCGGATTTTGGGGGGGCCGTGACGGAGGCGGGGTCGCCTGAGCCCGGCCCAGCCCAGCCCAGCCCGGCCCAGCCCAGCCCGGCCCAGCCCGGCCCGGCGCGGACGGGAACGGGAACGGGAACGGGAACGGGAACGGCGGCGGCGGCTCCGGGGGCTCGGGGCGCTCGCCGGGATGGGGGGACACGGGGACAACTACTACGGCAAGCACGGTAACGGCACCGGGGGGGCTCGGGGGGCATCTTTGGGGGGGCTTCGTGGCGGGGCTGCTGTGACCCCCCCCAAAAAAAACCCGCACATTCCTGTGACCCCCCCCCAAAAATCCAGCCTAAATCCCCGGCCCCCCTGTCCCGGGCTGCTCCCAGGCTGGCTCCGTGCCCACCCTAAAAATAAAGCGGAGCAGCGGCGCCGGGGGGGCTGCGGCGGGGCCGGGGGGGCTCGGTGGGACCCCCGGTGACGCCCCCAGCCCCGCAGATCTTTGGTGCTTGCGGGGAATTTGGTGTTTTTGGTGTTTTCGTGGGATTTTGGGTGTTTTTTTGGGCAGAGCCACCTGTGGAAGTTTTTCCTCCTGGTTGCGTTTATCCCGAGGTTTTTGGGGTTTTTTTTGGGAGGGTTTTTTTTTTTTTGGTTCCCTCGCTGCGGGCTGGGGGGTGAGGAGGGTGAGGAGAGCCTTCCTCCCACCCCAGCCCTTCCTCACTGCCCTTCCTCTTCCTCCCCATAGGAACGCCACAGAAGTATGACCCCACTTTCAAAGGTCCCATCTATGACAGGTCAGCAGAGCCCCACAAAGTCCCCAAATCCGGGGTCCCCAAACCCAGGGTCCCCCAGTGTCCCCAAACCCAGAGTCCCCAAGTCCAGGGTCCCCAAATCCGGGCTCCTAAAATCCAGCGTCCCCAAATCCAGGGTCCCCAGACCCAGGGTCCCCAAGTCCAAGGTCCCAAGTCCAGGGTCCCCAAATCCAGGGTCCCCAGATCGAGTCCCCAGACTCAGTGTCCCCAGAATCCAGGGTCCTCAAGTCCAGGGTCCCCAAATCTGGGGTCCCCAACCTTGCTGTCCCTGCTGGCAGGGGCTGCAGTCCAGGGTCCCCAAACCCAGTGTCCCCAAGTCCAGGATCCCCAAACCCAGAGTCCCCAAACCCAGCGCCCCCAGACCCAGGGTCCCCAAACCCAGTGTCCCCAAGTCCAGGATCCCCAAACCCAGTGTCCCAAAACCCAGTGTCCCCAGGTCCAGGATTCCCAAACCCAGTGTCCCCCAATGTCCCCAAACCCAGTGTCCCAGACCCAGGGTCCCCAGACCCAGTGTCCCCAAGTCCAGGATCCCCAAACGCAGTGTCCCAAAATCCAGAGTCCCCAGACCCAGGGTCCCCAAACCCAGTGTCCCCCAATGTCCCCAAACCCAGTGTCCCCCAATGTCCCCAAACCCAGTGTCCCAAACCCAGTGTCCTAAACCCAGAGTCCCCAGACCCAGTGTCCCCCAGTGTCCCCAAACCCAGCATCCCCAAACTCAGTGTCCCCAGGTCCAGGATCCCCAAACCCAGTGTCCCCCAATGTCCCCAAACCCAGTGTCCCCAGACCCAGTGTCCCCAGACCCAGTGTCCCCAGCCTTGCTGTCCCCGCCGCAGGGGCTGCACTGACATCGTCTGCTGCGTGCTGCTGGTGGTGGCCATCGTGGGCTACGTGGTGGTCGGCGTCGTGGGTATGTCCTGGGGGCTCAGGGCGGGGGTCTGGGGGCTGCAGGGGGGCGGTGACCACGGCCTCATCGTCCTGTGCCCCCCAGCCTGGACCCACGGGGACCCCCGGAAGGTGATCCACCCCACGGACAGCCGCGGGCAGTTCTGCGGGCAGCAGGGGACCCCCAACGAGTGAGTGCCGGGCCGGGGGGTGAGGAGGGCGAGGAGGGAGAGACCCCGAATTCCTCGTGGGAGCGTGGCGGGGGTTTTCCCCAAACCGGGCGGTTTTTGGTTTGTTTTGCAGGAAAAAACCTTTCCTTTTTTACTTTGACATCGTCAAGTGCGCGAGCCCGCTGGTGCTGCTGGAGTTCCAGTGCCCGACCACGCAGGTAGGGCCCCGAGCCCCCTCGGCGTTCCCCCGAATTCCCCGCGGAATCCTGAGCCTGCAGCCCCCTCCTTGTGTCCCGTTCCCGCGCAGATCTGCGTCAGCAAATGTCCAGACCGGTACATGACGTACCTGACGGCCTACGGGAGCCCCGCGTCGCTGGAATATTACCGGAATTTCTGCACCCCCGAGTTCAAGAGCTCGCAGAAGGTGGGCTCTGGGCTCGGGGTTCCCGTGCTGTGCGGTGATTCCTGCCCCGAGTGCTGATGTCTGGCTCGTTGTCCCCACCCAGGCTCCCCTCGAGGTGCTGAGGGACAAGGAGTGTCCGGCCATGCTCATTCCCAGCACCCCACGTACGTCTGGAATTAGCAAGGAGTTCGTTAACGATTCGCTGGGATTTTTTTTTGGAGGCTGTTTGGGGGTTCTGGGGGTGCTGTAGGGGTTTGGGGTTCCTGATTTCTTGGCTGAGCCACTCTTTCTGTCTCGCCAGTGGCGCGGAGATGCTTCCCAGCCATCCAGGCCAAGAAGGGCGTCATCATGGTGGGCAACGAGACCACCTACGACGACGGCCACGGGCGCCGCAGGAACGTCACCGAGCTGCTGGAAGGGGCCAAGTGAGTCCCAGGCCCCTCGTTAAGAGCTGCTTCGTTAGCGCTGCTTCGCCCGTTTGGGGCGTCGGGTGCTTGCCAGAAATCCCGCACCAAAATCAAAATCCTACGTGGGAAAAGCGGAGGGCGGCAAAGGAGGCGCAGCGCGGGCAGCTCCGCGGAATTGGCTGTGCAGAATTGTGGAATTTTTGTGGTTTTGGGGTCCCCCCCCGGGCTCCCGTTCCATCGGCGTTTCCCGTTTCCTTGCAGAAAAGCCAACGTGGTGCTGGAGACCCGGCAGCTGGCCATGAAGATCTTCGAGGATTACACGGTGTCCTGGTACTGGATCATCATGTGAGCATGGGGCAAAACTCGGGGATTTTCAGCGTTTTACCATTCCCCCGGCTTTCCCGCAATTTCCGTCGAGCAAACCGCGAGCGGTGACATCCCTGCCGTGGTTCTCACGTCTGGGGGACGCTGGGGCGCAGTGGGAGGGAGGGAGGGAGGGTGGTGACACGTGGCCTTCCTCCCGCAGAGGCCTCGTCATTGCCATGGTGGCCAGCCTCATCTTCATCGTCCTGCTGCGCTTCCTGGCCGGGATCATGGTGTGGGTGATGATCGTGATGGTGATCCTGGTGCTGGGATACGGTGAGCAGGGGGTTGGGAGCCTCTCCCTGGCTTTTCCTTTCCCTATTTCCAGTGGGATTTGCGCTGCAGGAGTTCACACGCCGCGTCCTTCCGGGTGTCTCCTCTCTGTCCGGCGTCTGGCTCTGCCTCTCCCGTGCAAAAGGGACAATTTTTTTGCTTTTTGCTGCAGGAATCTTCCACTGTTACATGGAATATGCCAAGTTAAAAGGGGAAGCGGGGTCGGATGTGTCCCTGACTGACCTGGGCTTCCAGACCGACCTCCGTGTCTACCTCCACCTGCGGCAGACGTGGCTGGCGTTCCGTAAGCATTGGGAATTGGGATGGGACCCAGGACAGGGCGTGGGAAGGGCGGGTTTTTGGGCTGTTCCCATGAGAAAGAGGGACTTTGCTGGGTGCCCAGCCACGGGGCAGTGCTGGATGTTCCTGGGAGGAGATTTTCGTGCCGTGGGGGGAAGGTGAAGGTGGCCCTCACGCTCCCTTCCTCTTCCAGTGATCATCCTGTGCGTGCTGGAGCTGGTGATCATCCTGCTGCTCATCTTCCTGCGCAAGAGGATCCTCATCGCCATCGCGCTCATCAAGGAGGCCAGCAGGTCTGGCTGTCCCTGTCCCCACGGCCGCTGGCACCCGTCGCTGCGGGGTTTAACTGGGGCTTAACCAGGATTTAACCAGGGTTTAAGTGAGGTTTAACCGTCTTCTCGCAGGGCCGTCGGTCACGTCATGTCGTCGCTGCTGTTCCCCTTGTGCACCTTCTTCTTGTTGTGCCTCTGCATCGCCTACTGGGCCAGTACGGCCGTGTATCCTTTACTCTTCCTCATCCTCTTCCTCATCCTCTTCCTGTTCCTTGCATCCCCATTCCCAGAAGTCCAGTGTCTCCCCAGGCATGGAGCAGGATCTGATGGCGCATCCACCTTAAACCTCTGAGGTTTAACCCAAAACAAACCCTGGGGTGGAAGAGCTGCAGTGGGAGCTTGGGGAGAGTGAAGTGGAGCCTGGTTTGGATTTAGGGTTGGGTTTGGAAAACGGCCTTTCCTTAATGGTGACCTGCAGCTTCCTGTCCACCTCCAACGAGGCCGTTTACAAGGTGTTCAACGAGTCCGCGTGCCCGTTCTCTGGGCACACCTGCCAGCCCGAGGTGAGGACCTCAGGAAACTCAGAACCTGCCAGAGATGAGACCATGGGGGTCACTCTGGGTTGACCAGCGGTGTCCTGTGTCCTCTCCAGACCTTCAACACCAGCAACGTCACCAAGCTGTGCCCCGATGCCCAGTGCCTCTTCGCGTTCTACGGCGGTGAGACCGCCTATCACAAGTACCTCATCGTGCTGCAGTTCTTCAACGTCTTCATGTTCTTCTGGCTCGCCAACTTCGTCATCGCGCTGGGCCAGGTGACGCTGGCAGGTGCCTTCGCCTCCTACTACTGGGCCTTCAAGAAGCCCGACGACATGCCGGCCTTCCCGCTCTTCTCCGCCTTCGGCCGCGCGCTCCGGTGCGTCCGTCCCCGCGAGGGTGGCCGGGAGCTCTGGGAGGTTGTGCCTTCATAACCGGGGTGGTCCATCCCTAGGTACCACACCGGCTCGCTGGCCTTCGGCTCGCTGGTGCTGGCCATCGTCCAGGTCATCAGGGTCATCCTGGAGTACCTGGACCACCGGCTGAAAGGTACCAGGGTTGGGATGGGAATGGGGAGATGAGCGGGGTTGGCACGTGGTGGGGGGTGGAATGGGATGAGCTGCAAGGCCCCTTTTAACCCAAACCATTCCATGATGCTGTGAAGTGTTTCCCAGGGCAGGAGCCAAGGGGCTCAGCCAGCCCTCCCCGGTGCCAGGGAATTCTGTGCCATGCCACCGTTCATTGGGAAACGTCAACAGCGAGTGGGGGCGTGGGAAGAGCAGTCTGGGCCCCAAGGGAGGCTGAGAACACGGCTTGGGTGGGGGAACTGTGGCAACAAGGTCTCACCAGGGACCTTAGAGTGGCTGCTGGAAGGTCCAGCCCCTCTGGCTTTGGTGCTGACCCCTCTCCCTGCGCCCTCCAGCTGCCGAGAACAAGTTTGCCAAGTTCCTCCTGGGCTGCCTCAAGTGCTGCTTCTGGTGCCTGGAAAAATTCATCAAGTTCCTCAACAGGAACGCCTATATCATGGTGAGAGTCGCCCAAAACCGACGCCCTCCAAAGGCTGGGGCTGCCGTGGGGGCAGCTCGGAGATTTCCCTGGGAATTGTGTCTCCGATGCTGTGGGAACACGGAGCTTTGCGGCATTTTTTGGCTGAAAAACCTTGACCTCAGCCATATCCCGTTGGCTTTAGGGAGGAACTTCTGTGGGTGGGGGTATTGAGCTCCGGGTCTCTGCGACGCCTGACCCGGCAGTGGATGAGAAAGCCCTCCCAGGGTGGGATTTGCACCCTCCCCTGGGTGGTGGACTCAGTGCAGCCCCGTTTCTCTCTCCTCTGCGCGGTTTTTCCGCCTCAGATCGCCATCTACGGCACCAACTTCTGCACCTCGGCCCGGAACGCTTTCTTCCTGCTGATGAGGAACATCATCAGGTGAGATCTGGGGGAATCACCCCACACCGTTTGCCACACGTGCCTCGGCTGCTTCTGTGGGAATTCAGGGCGGGGAGCAGATGCAGAGGCTCATCCCTCTCTTGTCTCCAGGGTGGCTGTGTTAGATAAAGTCACGGATTTCCTCTTCTTCCTCGGGAAGCTCCTCATCGTGGGAAGCGTGGGTAAGTGATGGGTTCTGGAAGTTTCTCCTCAGTGCCTCCAGCTGCTGTCACCCCCCAAAAGCTCCACTCAAGTCACCCCTCCCGTGAAGCTGCTCCTTTCCATCCTGTTTTCCATCTTGCTTTCCCAGGAATCCTCGCCTTCTTCTTCTTCACCCAGCGGATAAAGCTGGTCCAGGACACGGCGCCGCCGCTGAATTACTACTGGGTCCCAATTCTGGTGAGCTGACCTTTCTCTTTGGGGTGACTGCAGAAAGAGAGGACAGCGATGCCCCACACCAACCCCTCCCCACACCCGCTGCCTCAAGGAGTTCCTTTGTTGGAGGTGTTTTCCCGGTCGCTGGTGCAATGAGCCCTTTGTTGGTTGCTGTTGGCGCCGCGCCCGCCTGCGCTGCCCACTTTGGCCTCCGTCCAGTGGTGGCTGAGGCCTTTTGTCCCCACTCGGGCCGCTCCAAACAGTCCTGCCCTGTTCACTTCTCCTCCTTCCTCTGGGGAATGTGGGATTCAGCACTTTCCTCCTCCCCCTGCTGCTCCTGGCCGGGGCTCCGGGCTCTCCGCTGGCCGCGGCATCAGCGTGCGGCGTCTCTTGCAGACGGTGATCGTGGGCTCCTACCTCATTGCCCACGGGTTCTTCAGCGTGTACGGCATGTGCGTGGACACCCTCTTCCTCTGCTTCTGTGAGTATCAGCAAAAAAACCCCCCTCTGCCATCAGGCTCACTCCCAGAGCGTCCAGTTTGGGGGTTTGCTCCCAGTCCCCGGCTCCCTCTGTGTGGTTTTCTCCTGCTTTTTCCTTTCCTGACTTCTCACCTGCATTCTCACCCTGCCTGCTCCAGCAGAGACCCCCAGCCTGTCCGTGGGTTCCTGCATCTCTCCCTCGGTTTTGGTGCTTTGGGCTCGGTGGAATTAATTACAACTAACCTCAATTTCCCTTTTTTTCCTCCCGATTTGCCTTCTTTTCCACCCCTCCCGTGTCTCTGGTCACACGTTCTCCATCCTCTGCCCTGTCTCTCCCTGGCTCCTCCACTGCTTTTCGCTCTTCCCCTTCACGGCTGCTTCTTCCTGGGGCTGGAAAAGGTGAAGATCTGGAGAGAAACGATGGATCTCCGGAGAGGCCTTACTACATGTCCCCCGAGCTCAGCGAGATCCTGCTGAAGGGGCACCTAGAACCTTCCAAAAGCACCGATAGCCAAGGCTAGGGCCTGGCGCCGGGCGGAGGCCACGGGACCCTCCCGTCCCCCTGACCCCAGCAGCGACTCCCACGGTGCCACTGTGTCCCCTGGAAGTCCTTCGAGGGTGGCGGGTGCCGACCCTCAGCGCCCGATGGTGTCCAATCTACCTTCCTGCCCAAAAATTCGTGTTCCTGCGTCGAGAGAACCCACCCGGAGTTGGTTGGGGGTCCCGGAAGCGCCCAGCGAGGAGCGCGGTGCCTGGAGATCATCGTGGTTTTGGGGCAGAGGTCTTTGCTCCTGAGGGAGGGCCGGCGTGGCTGGCACGAGGGATCCGGCGTGGAGGGATTGGTGGGATGGGCCGAGTGGGTTCTGCCACCCCAAACTGGTCTCTGGGCGTTTCCTCTGTGTCTGCTTCAGCCAAGAGCAGTGAAACTTTCTTTTGCCCTTTCCTCACCCCTTTCTTTCTGATTTTCTCACCCTTTTCCTCCCCCCCGTCTCTATGCAAACCACAGAATTTTTTGAAGGATTTCGGGAGAGGTTGCAGAGCTTTGGCTTCACTTGTCCCTGTCCCCTGTCCCAGCCATCACAGGAGCTGTCACCGGTGGCCTTTGGGACTTGGTGGCCGCTGGGACTTGGAGGGTTTCACTCCAGGCATGGGGGGAGTCAGGATTTCTCCTCCAGAAAGCCCAGAAATGATCAAGATTTAAAAAAAACAGCTTTTGTGCCTCAGCCACAGCTCCCAGCCAGACCCTGCCAGGACAAAGCCCTGGTGTTGATGCTCCCATTTCCATCCCAGAAGGATCCAAGTCCCTCTCAAAACACCCCCTGGGCATTGTGAGCCCCGAGCTTTGTGGCTTTGTTTGATTTTGGGGTGTTGTTTTTCCACGGCTGGGATTTTCCGACCTCACCGGCACGTCAGGAACGAGGGGAATCGCTTTGCGTTGGCTCCAGAGCTGTTGGGAAGAGCTAAGGCGTCCCTCCTGCCCTTGGCTCTGTTCAACTTTCCCCCCCTGAGAAACAAAACACCCAAATTCCCTCTTTCTTCCCAATCCCTGCGGGCCATTCCCAGGTTTGCTGTGTCAGAGAGAGAAAAACCCTGTTCGGCGATGAGCCCGGGGACCCAGGGACTTTGGGACCCAGGGACTTTGGGACTTGTTTAACCTGGGAATCGTGGGCAGAGCATCCCAGGAGCCTCCATCACGCCAACCCCATGGCTGCCCCCGCCGCGGGGCCGGCGATTTCTCTTTGCAGTGGAAGACCTGGAGCGCAACGACGGCTCGGCGGAAAAGCCTTACTTCATGTCCCAGGACCTGAGGAAGCTGCTCAAGAAGACCAACAAAGGCCAGCCCGGCGCGTAGCGCCTGTCCCACGTGGAATTCGCCTCTGTGGACCTTGGACCACCCCTGCCAGTGTGGGTGGATGGGTAAAATGCAGATTTTTTTTTGATGACTCGGCCTTAAATCCTTGCGCTGGTAACGACGACGAGCTTGTCACCGCTAACGAGACGCAGGGCCCTGTGCCAGTGCCACTCCTGGGGCAAAATCCCAATTTCCTGGGGGGGTCAGCGACTCCAGAGCGAGTTTAGTTGTGTTTGATCCCATTTTGGTAAAACCTTCCCAGTCAGCTCGGGGGGATCCACACGGATCTGGGCGCGGAGGTGACGGAACGAGCCGGGAGGTTCAGGCAGCTCCTCGTGGGGTGTTTTCCTTCTGGCCCCCCCTAAATATTGAATTATGGTTGTGCATTCCTGCCCGGAGAGCTGGGACGGGCTGGAATCACTTCCCATGCCTCGCTGCCCTTTGCTGACACCCCAGGGCCCTGATTTGGGCCCTAATTTATTAATTATTTTAGGAATAAGCTAAGTAGTGCTTTTGTAGCCACTGCAAGGGGTGAAGGTGGAGGGGAACGAGGGGGCCATGAGCAGAATTTGGGGCTTGAGGCTCTGTCCAGCTCTTGCACCTCTTGAGGACCTGCAGCTTCCACAGATTCCTCCCCAAAATGTGCATCTGGTCCCCCAAAATTGTCATTTTAGGGTAAATCTTTCCCCAGCTTCCCAAAGGCTTCACCTGCATGAGGGGTTTTGGGACACCCCCGCTGGGGTATGGGGAGGGGGTGTGGATGGAGCCAGGGGGATTTTGGTTTCATTCCAGGTGATTTTAGCAAAGCCAGTGGCAGCCAACACCTCAGCAGGAGGGGGAAAAAGGGATTTTTTTTTGGGTGTGGAAGTCAGTTAACTCTAAAATGTAACAGAATTAACCCTCAGACCCGGCACAGCCACACAAGCAGAGCCACCACCAGCAACTGGGCTTTTTTGGGGCTCATTTGTTTAAAAAAAAAAAAAAAAAAGATTAAAGAAATGCTCTGAGGCTTTGGGGGACAATTCCCAGCTCCCAGAGGCTGGGGGGTCCCACCTTCCCCCCTCCAGTGCTCACCTGGCTCCAGGAATTGGTGCTGAGGGATCCCTTTGGCTTCTTTTTATCCCAATTCCCCTGCCACCTTTAGGTTTTGTATTGTCCAGGGGACGTTTCTATGGAATTATCCAATCCTTTTGAGGGCTTTTGTATATTTTGCTTTTCCAGGATGTTTTCAGTTACGGTTGTTTGGAGCTTTTCCAGTGAATTTTTGGGGGCACGTTTTTAGTTTCTCTGACGCCGCCGGGCAGAGCTTCCCTAGCTGGAATCAAACACTCTAATTTCTCTTTTTAAAATTCCCTAAATTTTCCCTTTTTCCCCTCGGTTTTTAGTGCAGCTGATCAGTGGACAGAGGAGTGGAAGGGAAAAACTGAAGCCAAAAAAATGCAGGAAAATGTAAAACTAGAAAGGTGAAGGGAAAGACAGAAAAACGAAGGGAAAGGTAAAAACAAAGCTAAAAAAGTAACAGTAAAGCTCAACAGAAAAGATCAAATTCAGCTAAAAAGAGGCAAATCCTCCCTGTTTGGGATAAGTGAGAATAATTCAGAGAATAATCACCAGACCTTGTTCCACTTCCAGCCATCCCAGCACCTCCAGCACGTGTCCTGCAGCTCCTGATGCTCTTTCTGGATTAATTCAGTTTTTTCCCTCCCTGTGCAGGTTTCAGGGTGGATTTGGTTTTACTTCTGCCCAGAATGTTCGTGTTGGGGGGCGAATTCTCTCTCACTCCTCGATTTTCAGCAGTTTTCCTCCTAAATCCTGACCCTTTGGGTGTGGGAACCCTGTGGGAAGCGGCTGAGGAGTGGCAGGAACTGGGTTTATTTGCTTAAAAAGGCAGAGAGCAGCAGGAATTTGGAAGGCTGGAAGGAAAAGTAGTGAAGGAGAGAAAAGAAATTTGGGAAAATGTGTTCCTGGGGAAGCCGGGCTGGCTCGGCTGCCTCCCAGCTGCACAGGATTTGAGGAGAACTAAGGATTTTTATTCCCAATAAACCCAAGTGGCTTTTTTAGAGGTGACGGGGAAATATTCCTGTAAATTAGGGGTTTTTTTTGGAAAACTCAGAGCGAGGGCAGCTGTCCGGGGGAATTCGGTGTCCGGAAAAGCTTCACTTCAAGACTGGGTTCCTGCTTCCAGGCAAAGCTCCGTGTTCAAGGCATTAAATGGTGGAATTTAGGAATAACGGCGCTTTTTTCCCTCCCGTCTAGAAATGTGGCTTCTGTCCCTAAAAACCTGATTGTTCTGCGGGCAAAGAGAACAACCCCAAATCCTAAAAAAAAAATGTTAAACCCACAGGGCTGATGTTTTACAGGAAAAGGCTCGTTTTTCATGTGTTTTTGAGGCATTAAGGGTGCTGTGACACTCCGGAGTCTCCGCGCGGTTCCGTCAGCGTCGCGACCGACAATAAAAAAAAGTGCCTGTTTGGACCTCGTTCTGTTGTGTGACATCACAGGGCTCTAATGCCACCAATTCTGCCATTCACCCCAAAATGGTTATTTCAGCATTTGTTCAGCTGATTTCAGTGGGGGGGGTCACTGATTTTGGGGAGTTTTGGCTGAATCTGAGTAATTTTCCAACAATCCTTGAGCTGCAGGGTCTATGAGAGGGGATTTTAAAGAGCAAAGTGCTCCTTCAGACACTTACTTCATGTTGTTTCCCTGGTCATCAAAAGCAGAAGGTGTTTTTGTGGTCAAATGCCTCCAAAAAGGCATCGTTGAGATTGTTCCCCTCAAAAATTCAATGGTTTTGAGGTCAAGTCACTGAAAAATCTGCGTTTTTGAGGTCAAGCCCCTTCAGGAAAGGTGGTTTTTGAGGCCAAACCCCCTCCAAATAAGGTGGTTTTGAGGTCAACCCCCTCCAAATAAGCTGATTTTGAGGTTGTTGCCCTCGTAAAAAGGCGACTTGGACATCAAACCCCTCCAAAAAAAGGCACTTTGAGGTCAAACCTTTTCATTCCGTGTTAGAGAAGGATCTTCCGGGTGGAACCCTGCCTGCGCTCAGGTGCTTTGGGGGGTCGCGCGGAAATGTCCCCTCAGGGGGATCCTCTGGGGCCATCGCTCCCCTCACGGCGTCCCCTCAGCCGGCGCCCCCCCCGGGGCCCGTTCCCGCCACCGCTCTCGGCCCCGCCCCTCCTGCACCACCCTCCCTCCTCCCTCTCCCATTGGTCTTTCCCTTTGTCCATCGGCTCGTGCCGGGCCATCCCATTGGCTCGCGCCCGCCCCCACGCCGTTTATCCCCGCC